CCTCTCTATCTCTCACACACACACAAACACTCGCCACATCACCACCAACACACACACAACACACGCCAGACACACACAACACGTGCACACACACATCAACACACAAGACACACACATACACACATTGACACACTGTCGGCAACCACCCGCCCGCGGTCAACCACCTGCTATTCGCCGCTCGCCGCCCGCTGCACGCCTCTCACCGTCCGCTGCACGCACCACACTGCCCGCCATCCTACCTCACCCACGCCCTTCGCAGTCGTCACCGACTTCCTCCGCCGATGAGCTCAACGCGTATCGCCTCTGGCTAGGAGCAGACCACCAAAATCGACCGCCTCTGCCACCCACCACTTGCCGCCGATCCGGTCTAAAAATAGAGTTTGCAGGTGGAGGCTTTTTCTGGTTCGATGGGGCGTAACAGACATAATCCGGCGAGTTGAAGTCTCCGTCGGCGGCGACCGACAAGACGCTGCCGGCGATAAGGGCCAACCGAATTGTCCCTCACCGGAGCATCTTTCATGACCTAATTGTTGATGTTTTTTTTTTAAATTAGATAAATTTAAAGGACTTGATTGTAATTTTGAAATTTATAACTATATTACAATTTAGACAATGGGTCAAATACATAATTTATATAAAAAAAATTAATATATTTTTATACACACACACACACACACATATATATATATATATTATGTATTTAAAAAAATATTAAATAAAACAATTAGAATACTAAAATGCACATAAAAAATATCCACTCATCGTTCACTTCTGGTTTGGGCTTCTCCGTTCGCTGGGGAAAGGCTGCTAGTTTATTTTAGTGTTTTGTTTTTATGTTCGTGTTTGTCTTTGTGCTTTAGGTTGTGTCTTTGGTTTGGGCCGTTTGGCCTCTGTGAGCCCGGGTGTCAATCTTATTACTCCGTTGGAGTCCGACACTATGTATTACCCTGTTGGGGTCCTTGTAGTTGTTCTAGTTGTTTGTGTTGTTGGTTAGTTTAGTTGTGAGTATGTTTTTATTCTAGCGTTGCTAGTCGGGATTCTAGGCGGGCTTCTGACCTGTCCTCCCACTTTTTCAGCTGTTGGCTGCTGAACCCGTTGGCTGCTGTGTATTCGCACATTTGTGCATTTTGATTTATAAATCTATCTATCGTTTCGGGAAAAAAAAATTGAATGCACAATAATGTTAGACGAGCTGCACATTAATGTCTACCGGAATGCACGTTATCAATTTCTGTATTTGCAATCATCAATATTAATATAAAAAAATTAAGAAAAAAAATTAAAATGCTAAATATAATTTTATTATATAAATAATTTGATAATTGCAAAATAATTTTAATTAAAATACACATTATTAAAGTTCTAATATAAAAAATGCACATAAAAAATACAGCCAATGAAGTGCACCATAATATTGTACAAACTGCATATTATTGACTGTGGAAATGCACATTATTTATTTCGATATTTTATATATTATGTCTCTTAGGCCAAAATTAAATATAACATATTAAATATAAATAATAAAATATTATATAATTTTATAATATAAATAATAAATCATCTCTATTATTTAGTTAATTCAGTTAATCGATTGAATAAACTGATTAATTCAGTCGTTTTTAGTTTGGTATAGATTAACCGTAAAAAATGTCTGCGCTTCAGGTGCACAATAGTGTTAGACGAATTGCACATTAATGATTATTAGATTGCACAATAGAATATCGAAATCGTCCTATCTCAAATTGTCAGCTTGAAATTTAATATTTTGATTCGATTATCTATTTTTGCTTTTAAATCACGGTTATTTCAGCTCGATGTCGGCTTCATTATTAAAAATAACCTAGATAACTTTTATGTATATCAGGTGCACATTCAGATTGTACGAATTGCACATTAGCGACTCTTAGATTGCACAATATCGAACAAAACCGAACGAACTAAATTTAACCTTAGTTTCCCGTTCGATTGCTGAGTCCGAATATCGTGATCTTGCTGATTCCACCGTAGAGCTATTATGACTCATATTGATACATTTCATGAGTGCACCAAACACATGAAAGCACATGGGACTGTGAAACTTTTTTCAGCCTTATATACGGATCAAACAACATATGTTTTCACGAAGTCTCTCTTTCCGGTCACTTTTGTGTACTTCTTAGCAAACTCAAATTGATATCCACTATACCACCTTGATTTTGAGAGGGGTATTAATTATATAAAAATGTATTCTTGTGTTGTAGGCTAGGTTTAGACCCAAATTAAAATTCAAGCACATTTATGTATCTATATATATATGTGTACATGTCCTTGTGAATAAACGCCATATATTTTTCCCACATTCTTACAATGTGTTAGTTAATTTACATATTTTAAACTACCAATCACATCTCACCATTTTCTTTTTCATATAAATTTTATCACTACATAACTTATATTCACATAAAACATTATAACATTAATTCCGAATTCATCACTCTTCTTTCTAAACACTTTTCACTACTACTAATACATAAATAAGGATTTTCAAATGGAAGTTATGAACGGTAAATAAGCACCATCATGCTTATGAATTTTACATTTAATTTGACTATTTGAGTTTCCAGAAAATCTCATGATTTTCAAAAATCCATCGAGGGCATAATCGACATTCACATACTTGGCTCCATATTCAAAATATTTCAAATGTCTTTTAACGGTACACTCAGGCCTCCTCTTCCCCAAACCCTTCCTTCATCTCTCTCAGGATTCTCTCTCTCTAAATTCTTCAATTTTTCTCTTCTTCATAATCCATCACCAAAATTTTCTCCTAATCTTCGACGAATTCGTTAGAATGCCGTTGTTTTCCAGCATCTCGGAGTCGATGACGAGTGCAGTCAAATCCCGGTTTGGTTACCACCCACATCAGCAGCCGGACGCGGCGGAGATAGCTCTGGCGCCAGAGAAGAGCTTCGGATCTCCGGATATGCTTTTGAAATCAGCTTCGAGAGAAAATTTTCTGTTGCCGTCTGCTTCTTGTAAAGACAAGTCATCTAAACTCGATGACTGTGAAGCCACACAGTACGCTGGGGGCCGCAGTTTTGAGTTCCAAGAGGATCCAAACTTTTGGAAAGAGCACAACGTTCAGGTATAGATTTGTTGTATTAGGGTTATTAGGTCAATAGATTTTCTGAAAAGCCGTGTTAGTGAGATTTATGTCAATAGGTTTTCTGCAAAGCCGTGTTAGTAGGAATTAGTGAATTTGAATTGGACAGTAGGAAATAATGTTTCAATTGTTTTCTTTAACGTGTAGTTTTCTGGAAGTTACCTGCCATAAATGCCCGCAATTATCAAGTTATTGTCACTCTAGATGGAAAAACTAACACTGACATATATAGAATTAGTACTTTTTTTTTTTATTATATTATCGATTTGGCATTTTGCAGGTTATTATTAGATTGCGTCCCTTGAGTAGCTCTGAGATGTCGGTTCAAGGCAATAATAGATGTATCAGGCAAGATAGTTCTCAGACAATTACTTGGACAGGGCACCCCGAATCCCGGTTTACATTTGATCTCGTGGCTGACGAAAGTGTTAGCCAGGTATGTAAACGTTGTGGGTATATGAATTATTTCTGTAAGTTTTTTCGTAATTTTTCATGAATCTCATTTTTGTTACATCGTCAGGAAATGCTATTCAAGGTAGCTGGAGTGTCATTGGTGGAGAATTGCATGGAAGGATACAACAGCTGTATGTTTGCTTATGGTCAAGTAAGTTGAGCATGATTAAACATTTAACCTTTTCAAGCAATACTTTTATTATTTGTTTGTGCCACGCATTAGTGTCCAGCTTATTGACTGTTGATATCATTAGCTCTTTTCCTGTCTAATGTTATAAATTGAGAGAATGACCAACTTAATAAGCTTCTTTTGATTTCTTTTACATAGACTGGAAGTGGCAAAACTCACACAATGCTTGGAGATATTGAGGGAGGTACTCGGAGACACAGTGTTAACTGTGGCATGACGCCTAGAGTATTTGAGTACTTGTTCTCCAGAATCCAAAAGGTAAGCTGTTAGAGTATTATATATTGAACTTAGAGAGAATACATGGTCGCATGATGATTTCCTAAGATTACCAATACATTGTTTGCCAAATCTATGAAGATCATTGGAGCATCAAATATTGAATAGAGATTTGGCTTTTAGCCCTTTACTATATTTGTGTGGGTGAACATCAAAGTTATTAAGAGTGCAATTAACATATGTTGTCTTTAGCTTGTGTCATGTGTCTTTATTACTTTCGTTCCTGATGCTGATGCAGAATAGAACTACTTTCTAGTTGGTTTTCGTTAAGATTAGTCTGCAAGTGATTGCTCTATAACATATTGCGGGACCAATATGGCAATATCTAAAGTTTCGTACTGTAATTCCTTTTGATTTTACAGGACAAAGATGCTCGGCGGGAGGAAAAGTTAAAGTTTACTTGTAAATGTTCTTTCCTTGAAATTTACAATGAGCAAATTCTAGATCTCTTGGATCCTTCATCTTCCAATTTACAGGTATAGTTATTTTCTTGTGCAGTATTATGATATGTCTAAGCATACATTAAAAAATTCATTTCCTTAATCTCTCTATATAACTTTTGTCATTTTTTGTATTAAAACATTTGAGCTGAAAGTGCCACCTGATACTTCATATACACATATGTCGTTGGTAAATATTTTTAACATAGTTTTAGCTAATGTAGATAGAATAAATTAGCTATTCAATTATATTATATAAAAGTCGTTATTGGGCCTCCACTGAAACAAGATTTAATCCATTGCAAACAACTAGTATGTTAAGCAATTTATTCCTTATAGAAACGGTGATAAAATAGATTCAACATCCTAACTTTGCCATGATACTTCTATCAGACATCGTGCTTTTTCATGTTCTTGAAATACCAATACTTTGTTGATCAATTTTCCCATTTCTATGGGTCATCTTTCCTGGTAGAAACCTAAATGAAAAAAAGTTCATTGACTGTGGTAGTTTGCTCGTTGCAGATAAGAGAAGACAATAAGAAAGGTATTTATGTCGAAAATATCACTGAGATAGAAGTCAATAGTGCTCGAGATGTGATCCAGCAGCTAATTCAGGTTTCATCAATTCCTTTATACAGGATGGTCTCTTTTGTTTAATATTATGAAACGATTTGTTTATAATGTAGTGAAGGGATATGTCTGTATGGGATCATATTATTATATATGTATGCATAACTAGAGTGTATCGGCTTCGGAATACTGATCATAGCCATGATTCCGAATTTATATAAATAATTTAAAAGGAAGAGAATATATTGAAGGATAAAGTGATATCATAAGCAAACTTATATTTCATTTCTTACTCAAAATATTTAGAGGTGCTATGATGCTGAATGAGAGTTGTAAACTTTATTGTTATCAGCTTATCATCTTAGTTTACGTGATTGGATGTTCTTATTTTCAGGGTGCAGCCAACAGAAAGGTTGCTGCAACTAACATGAACCATGCCAGTAGTCGCTCTCATAGTGTGTTCACTTGTATAATAGAGAGTAAGGTAAAAATAATCAATTTTCATTTTAATGTAAGCGTGCCTTGTTTAACTTTACCATGAAAGTCCAGCCCTACATGGAATTGTTTATAATAAAAAAGATGAACTTTAACATGAAAGCCGATCTTGAAATTTAAATGTATTTGTTCTTTTAGTGGGAATCCCAGGGGGTAACTCATCATCGGTTTGCTCGTCTTAATCTCGTGGATTTAGCCGGATCTGAAAGGTAGAGTTAATGTGACAACATTCAACTGGGAAAGTATTTATTTGACAATCATGCTGTTTGAAATTATGTCTATCTTCACATTTTGCTGTCAATTTTAGGCAAAAGAGCTCCGGCGCAGAAGGTGAACGTTTGAAAGAAGCTACGAACATCAACAAGTCTCTTTCTACTTTAGGGTATGTTTAATTTTGTTCCTAAGTGCTGTCAAGTTTAGATAACATGATCATCCTTAATTATGTTCTGATTTTAGACATCTAATCTGAGACTGAGATGTTCTTTTGTTATGCAGGCTTGTTATAATGAACCTTGTTAGCATATCCAATGGGAAGTCAATACATGTCCCTTACAGGGATTCCAAGCTCACTTTTCTGCTTCAGGTTGGATAACTCTGCCTTAAAACCTTTATCATCTGTTGGCGTTCTATGATTGTCATGCCTGGTTGTTATATCCTATTATTTTTCCAGTCACTAGTTTAGGTCAATGTAGATCTGGCCTCTGCCTCTTGTCTGGAAGGTTGATGCATTATTATCATCCAAACAGATTGTCTTTGAAATAGTATCAAAATATTTTTCTTTCTTTCTTGACACCACATTTACCAAATTGACTTCTGCAGAGGATGAACATAAATTGATTGTTTGATTGGTCCTCTTCTTGTTTCTAGAATCTGTTCCCTTGATGCTTTCATAGAATCTACGTACTGTGCACACATATGAATATCAAAAGTGACTTTGTTCCCTTTTTCTTTTGTTGATTTACGAATTATGATATTTATAAACACAACATTCTGCAGGATTCACTGGGAGGAAATGCCAAAACAATTATCATTGCAAACATTAGTCCTTCTTCCTGGTCAGTGCTTGTCTAAATGACTGACATTGTTTTTTTTTTTGTACCTTCTTCTGAAGAATTTATCTGTTGAGTTACTGAACTACAGCTTCGAAATCATTTTAATTTCTTACGTGCTCCAGCATTCTATTTGTTAAGTTACTGATAAGATTAACTTCTACTATGCTGTTGCAGCTGTTCGCTTGAGACACTGAGCACATTAAAGTTCGCACAACGTGCCAAATTTATTAAAAATCACGTAAGTAGCTCTTTCAATCATATTTACATATTCCCCGAATTTTGCCCTGTTATGAAAGGTACATTTAAATCACTCAGTTAATAGTCTTTCAGCAATTTGCACAGCCATTANCTTTTATGCTTGTCCTCTTTCTTTATTTTGCTAGGCAATTGTCAATGAAGACGCTTCTGGAGACGTGCTTGCTTTGAGGCTTGAGAACCAGAACCTCAAGGTACTGAAATTCATAACCGGCATGTATTACCCATCATCTCATTTCATAAAAAACTGACTTGTAGGACTGGGTTCCTGTATTAAGACACAATATGAATACAGACACCCATGATATTATTTGCTTTCTATACTTTCCTTTCCCTTCCCATTTCAGATATCTCAGAGTTTTATCCGAGTTTTATCAGTTTATTTACTGTTGTTGCATTCTACTGGGAAATTCTTGAAACATGTGGTAATATGTTCGTGAGAACGTTAAAAAACAAATAGTTGATAGTCAAAATGCTTACAGTGTAGCACTGACAAAAGCACCTTGAGCTGGTGATACAAATTGTTATTGTTTTTGAAATGTCTTTAAAGTCTGAATTAATTGTCATCAGATAATGATATGATCTATGGTGTCATATTAAGCCATGCATTAAGTATTTCTAGTGTAACCTGCTGTGAATTTGTAAAAAGTGATATTGTCCTTGATTTGTACATAGGAAGTGAAATTTATTTTGCTTGAGTTGTATTACAACGGACTCAGGTGACTTTCTCTGATTGTAGCCAATTTTGGTTATTAACCATTTTTGAAAATGTTATCCAGAAAGAAGTTTCTCACTTGAGGAGCCTAATCAATGGCGAAGCTGAAAGCCATGGTGCTGATGCTTTATCAATAACATTTCCTGGATCTCCTGGATCCTTTAAATGGGAAGGACACCATGGATTTTCTAGTCCAATTGTATCTGAGAAAAAGATGCCTCGTGTATGTAGATTCATCTCCTGAACTCCACTTAATAGAGAGTGCACATTTTCAGGACGAAGGGTGTTTTGCATGATTCTAAGTTTCAGCTTGATTTTCCTTGTAGCTTCATAAGAAAGAGTATGAAGTTGCCCTTGTCGGAGTTCTCCGGAGGGAAAAGGATAAAGACACTGCACTTCAAGCTTTGGCAGCAGAGAATCAGGCAACTCTACAGTTGGTATGATCATTTTTATTGGAGTGACTTATGTTCACATCCATTAGTAAATTGAGTTCTTGGAACCATATAAATATCTGAAATGTTCAAATAGGTGATTTGGTCTTGCAAATGAATAAGATTAATTGCTCTGAAGCAGAAGTAGTATTGCTTGTAGATTTTTTTGACACGGACAACAAGCCACTTAGAAAACAGAATACTCCTATGGAAATATACAAGTGCCCCAACGATTTTATATTTATTTTTGAATTGAATATCCCCTTTACAGCATATGACATTAAATATGCTCACTTATCCTATACAATTTCATTTTGTGAAGAAATTAATTGCAGCATAGGTTCGTTCATTTGTCCTTAAAATGCTGAATTTATTGTGTGCGTGATGAGATAGGCCAAACAGAGAGAAGATGAAATCCAAGGTTTAAAGATGCGATTACGATTTCGAGAATCAGGAATAAAAAGACTTGAAGCTGTTGCATCAGGAAAGATCTCTGCCGAGATTCACTTGCTAAAAGAAAGAGAGGAGCATTTAAAGGAAATAGAGGTGTTGCGTGCTCAGGTAGATCGTAACCAGGAAGCAACAAGATTTGCTATGGAGAACTTGCGACTGAAAGAAGAGATCAGAAGGCAAGATTTTGTTGTATCTAATTTATTCCATTCATCACCCTATGACAAGTATATCACATTTTTCCTTGTTTGACTACAATTTGCCCCATCATTAAAATGTTTAAGTTGATTAGCAGTCAACAAAATAGAATTCCAGTGGTGAACTTGGCTGCGAGATGTGATACGTTCCTTTATTTGTGAAACTAATGCTTTTAGAGTCATCTTAGGTCCCCAGTTTCAAGTTTTTATTGTGATTGCTTTCTCCATGCTGTTCTTTACTCAAGCACACACACACAGCTCATCTTTAGACACAACATCAAGTCGCTGCGCGGTTCTTTTTTTAATTGTGATTTGACCTCCGGAAAATCAAATTTTATACGTCATCAGCTAGACTAATTTGCTATTGAATTTCTCACATGCAGACTGAAGTCATTCTGTGAAGAGGGTGAACGGGAAAGATTAAATGAACAGATAATGATATTAGAAACTAAGGTAAACATTTTATATTTCTGACAACTGAGTAGTCTTTGATCCTCCCTAAATTTATTAGGTAGAAACAGCACATACTATAAACAGAAAACTTTATTTATAATCGGCTAAAACGGTGCTCATACAGTGTTTAATATTGTTAGTAGCACATGCAAATGATGACTTGGTTAGTGTTACAAATTTTCCTGATCTCTTCTGTGCTTATGACTTGTTGTTCTTATTATCCTCGATCAATTTCAGCACAAGCCCTGTTTTAAGTTATAATACATATTTATTTCCCCAATTAAGCTTTTTAGATCATGGGACTCCCAATGGCACAAAAAACTGGAGAGAAAAGAACTAAAGAAAGTAATAATGAAAGAAAACAAGTAGGGTGATTTTTACTGAAAAAAGAAGGGGCTGTGTTTTGTTCATTTCCCATATTTTTTGAGTGTTATTATTTTGGCCGTCTACGAATCAAGTGAAGGACAGTTACTCCAAGAACTGATACCTTGTAAAGATAAATAAAAAAACCGGATCTTACACTTCCATTGTTCTGTTAGTAAATCGTAGAAATAGTTATCTGATTTTTTAATTTACGTCCAGTTATCATTACTAGTGCTCATCTGAAGTTCATTTTTGTAAATGCTGAGAATTTTTCATGTGTTGCTGCAGTTGCTAGAAGCTCTTGATTGGAAACTCATGCATGAATCAAATCCCACTAACATTCAGGTTCTTACCTTTTTGTGCAAACTTAAATCTGCTCAAGATGTGACTTGTTAAACTTAGATAACGTTTTGTGTTGATGTTACAGAAAGAAAGACAAGATCAGAGTGATGATGATTTTCTGATATCCAATCAGGTAATAGAAAATTAAACTTGGTGCTTTCATAATTCATATCTCTTTTATAATTTTGCATTCTGCATACTGAGGGAATACAACGAAAATAATGTTTGATTGTGGGTAGAAAACTTATTTTTCAAGCCTAAGCATAAGGCTAGAGCTAATACATACCACTATAATATTTAGCCATGTTGTTAGGGTTAAATTTGCAATAACTGTGTACTACTGCTAGTCCTACTCCCACTATTGAGTTAAAACCTTAGGCAAATAGTTTCATCTTTAGAAATGCGTCAACTATATATGGAAGTTGAAGTTTAGCACATATGATTACATACATAAGTTTATTCTTTTCTTTTACTAAAGGAATCTGCATCACCATGGAGGACATCAACCAATGAGGAGAATGAATTCCTACGTATGCAGGTAAACTTTTATCTTCCATGTGTTTTTTCTGCCATTTGATAATGTATGCATATATGTATCCAAAAACATGCTTTTTCTAGTTGTTACTCAAATATATATTTCTCAGGCCATTCAGAACCAGTCAGAGCTCGACTCACTTCGTAAAAGACTCGACTTCATTATTGGCGAGAATGAAAAACTAGAAAGGTACTGGCCATCGTGATTCCAGCTTTTGATTTGCCTCTAGCTAATATCTCATCTTTTCGAATCTTATAAAATGTTATCAGCGGAGTCTAAGAATGCTAATTGATTGGGATTCTGCTGAACAGCTTGTCTTCATTTTACAATATTCTGAAGTGCTACAGGTGAAATTTGGCTAATGGCAAATGTTGCTGTTAAAGTAAAGGGTCCGATAAAAGAGATACGTAATAATATTGATGACATAATAATAGGGACAAACGAGAAGATCTGCCCACCTAGAAACTTGCTCAACAGCCTATGCTATAACAAAATAAATCTCTTCTTCCCTATCCTATTGATCACTCAACTCTTGTATGCTTAACTATAGCTAATACAAAAAGGGAATAAGAAATATAAAGGGTAAGAAAATAATGGCTCTGGATATTTTTTCTGCCTTCATCTTTAAATATCTTTTGCAGGCATGTCAATGACTTGACAAACGAGCTCGAGGTGGAAAGACGTTCGAAAGAAACTACATCCGAGGAGTCTGAGAAAGGACTCACCACACTTCCTTCTCTGGTAAGTATTGGACAATGTGACCAATCTGAGATCAAAACAATGGTTGACGCCATTGCAGCTGCCAGCCAACGAGAGGCACAAGCGCACGAGATGGCAATCTTCCTGGCCAAAGAGAATGACGAGCTGCAGGCCAAGCTCAAGGTCCTAATCGAGGACAACAATAAACTGATCGACCTGTATGACAGTGCAGTCTCGGGAAATCGTATTCAGGCAGATAGCAACGTTTGTTTAAATAATGCAACTGAGGAGAAGGAGCTCGAGATGAAAGGAGACCTTGAGAGGCTAAATTGTCAACTCACTGAAATGCATGAAGAACATGATAGGTTGTTTAGTTTGTATGAAAAGGCCATGCAAGAGAGGGACGAGCTGAAAAAGATTATTGATATTAGTCAGCAAAAGCTTGTTGAAGTTGATGGAGACGAACATCTCAGGTTTGACTGTGCTTCTACTTGCTCAGACAACGAACGTGACAGGGAGGAATTGGTACAGGATGGAAAAGTTAATTCTGATTTAGAAGACGAAACTTGTTTGCATGAAGTACAAGTCGGGGATGAGTACAGCCAGAGTTTGATTGATTCCGAAATGAGAACAGTGGATGAGGACGAGTTAAAAGAAATAAACAAATGTGAGGAAATTCGTGCTAGCACAATGGATTTGTCAAAAGAAATGGATTCTATAAGAAAGAAGATTGCTGAAGCACATGAAAAGCTTTCGTGCTCTGCACAAACATTGACCGTGTTTGGCTCGCTCGAGCGAGCATTAGTGGAGGTTGATACTCTTTCAGAAAGAATCAGCAAACTGGAGAAAAGCATCTGGGCGAAAAAGCAGGATCACGAAAATCTGAAATCTCTCTCGTCTGAGCTTCAGAAAAGAAAAGACGTGGCTGGCAAGAAACTATCAGCTTTAAAGCACTCTCTGTCGAACTTTTCTTCTTCGATTACTTATTTCGAGCAGCGTGAGGCTCTAGCGAAGTCTAGATTAGTTTATTCCTCAGAAAACTTATCCCGCAAAAAGGAGGAACTCAACAGTCTTGAGCTGTCCAGACATGAAGTGACGGATGCTCTCTCGAAAACTAAAGAAACTGAAGCCGAATTGAGAAAACTTTCAGACAGCTTGAAGTCGAAAGTGGAGGATGAACACAGGAAACTGGAAAACGAGAGGGTTCTCTTTGCCATAGACAACGTTGAGAACAACAGGAACTGGCAGTCGAGTGGGAAAGCCACCGCTCTATTGAAATCCGAGGAGGAGAAAACAAAGCTACAAAACGAGATAAAGCTGAACAGAGAAAGACTCGGGGTCGTGAAGAAAGAAGCCGAGGTCCTGACCAAGAATCTCGGAAAAATAGAAAGCGAGAGAAAAGCACTTGAAGCTGAAATTCAGAAAGAGTCTGTACTCGTCGAGGAAATGAGTCAGAAACTTGAGAATATTATTAAGGAGAAAGCAATGATTCTGGAGATTCGAGAGAATGGGAAAAATGAATATGAGACGATGATCGTGGATTACTATGAGAGGCTGTTCGAAATGGAGTTGAATGAGGAGGAAATGAAAATCATGCGTGAGGAAGTTTTGGTGGGGCTGATGGAAATGGAAGGCTTACAGGCAGCGAGAGGCAAAGCTGTGCAGCGAAAGAGAGAGTTGCTTGAGGCAGTGTCGTTTGGGGAGACAAGCTTTGTGTCGGAGAAGGTTGAGGCGGATGTTCGTAGTGTACGGACATCGGTTTTGGAGCTGAACTCATTGCTCGAACAATGTGGTTTAGTGGGGTCACAAATCTGTGCATGA